AATCACCCACCCCACGCCGTCCAGGCGGCAAACCACCCAAACCTATACCTTTTAGGGTTTAGGACCTAAACTCAGTTAGGTCCATCTTGGTCAACAACAACATTTTTTTCATTTGTGTACGCTGAAGGTTCTGAGGATTGAAAGAGGCCTAGCAACCTTCTGGTGCTGATGAGTGAAGTGGCAAGCCCTGAAGGAGTGGAGGCCCCTGCAGAAATTGTGAGGCCACCTGCTGAAGGTTTCTGGAGGCGAAGCGTTTAAAGGTTTTGAAAGCCCTGAACAGGCCTGGAAAAAGGGCCCCTCAAAGGTTTCTGCAGGTGCTGGGAGGCCCTTGCGAGGCCTTTGGGAGGGCCCTGGTAGGGCCCTGGGAAGCGGTCCCGTTTTAGGTGTGGTGAGAAAATTGGAGCCGCTACCCTGCTCTCAGGCCCCCTGGTCCTGAAATTCGCTCGCAGAGGGGGCCCTGGACCCCCCAGACCCCCAGGATCCACCCTGAAAAAAACCAGCCAGCCACCCAGCTTCGACCACCAGCTTCAGTACTGGTCCCGAGGAGAACTCCTCCAGGTACCTGGCCTCTCGTGGGTGNNTACCCCTGGCTGTGGGAAGGCAGGCGAACGTGCTGGATCGACCTGCGCCATCGATGTCGGGGGGCATAAGCGCCGCCCACCATCGAAGGTGGGCGGCCTATGCCATGAGTTTGGGGTTTAGGGTTTAGGGTTGAGAGGTATAATATTAGACCGCAAGTCTATGACTACTCATGCTTACCAAGAATCACGGGCCTCAGAAGGGCATCCCCTGGTCGAAAGAGATTTCTTTTGCACGGAATGCTCCTAAGAAACCATGAACGACGCTTTCCCGCAGCCTCTTTTTTGCCCATCCCAAGCCTTAAACACGGTTTCCATTAAATTGTCGATGTTCCTTTTCAGTTTTTCTCTCTTAATTCTGCACTATTGGGGTAACACCCCTAACCTAAACGCGAAACCCTAAATAGTAAAGTGCATTTCTTTTTCCGTTTGATTCTCCACTGTTCCAACAAGATGTTATGAGGGATTTGCAACCCTAAACCCTCTCACCTCAGTTTTCTCCTCCTCCTCCCCAGTCATCGCTTCTTTGCTGACGCTGTGAACGACTCCTCCGGGGGGACGCCGTCGAGGCTTCGGGGGCATAGCTGGTCGCTCTGAAGAGACGTCTTCGACGTGCTCCTGCAGTTGCTACTTCCGAGAGGATATGGGATTAGGGTTTAGGGTTATATGGGGAGATTACGCAGGGCTTAGGGTTACAATGCTGATACAGTTCCCAAGGATGGGGAATCGAATGTAAAAGAGACTTGAACATGAAATTAAAACTGTTGGCAAATAAGGGAAAAAAGAGTTGATACTAGAGATCCTGCATGAAACTCTCCACTTGGTGCTACCAACCTGGAATGAGCTTCGACACAACGGTCTATTAATGTCAGCCCTGTGTTCCTGCTCAGGGTTAATTGCAGTAAGAACCCCGATATGGGGAAATCCCAACTTTAATGAATACCTTTACTGAGGAAATCCCTAAAGCCGAAACCCTGCATAGTAGCTTCCATTTAATTTTCCATTTTCTGTTCGTTTGATTCTCCAATTTTCTTGCTCTGGATGAATAGGTTAAGGCCCTGGCCTGCAAAGCTCACAATTACCCATTCCCACCGACCCTCCAAATAGCCTGTCACCCTAAACCCTAAACTCTAATTTGAAAACCCTAAACCCTCAAACCCTTAAGCCCTAAACCCTAAATCCTTAAACCCTAAACCTGTAAACCCTAAACCTGTAAACCCTAAACCAAAAAGCTCTAAACCCGAAACCGTACGTAAGAGTCTAGGTATACCCTCCATTGGGCAAACGGAGTTTCCTCTGCGCCAATATCAGATCTGAGCTCCGCCTGCCAGAGGCCTTCATAGGGAGGTAGCTTCATTGTTTAAGGTTTAGGGTTTAGGGTTTAAGGGTTCAGAGTTTGGGTTTAGGTGTTTCAGGTTCAAAGGGTTAAAGGTTTTTTCTTTGGGGATAGGGGATAGGGGGATTAGGTTAAGGGATTTAGGTCTAGAGGCAGAAAGTAACAAAGTACACCTACGATGAAAGGAGGAATTCTTGTGCCAGTTAGGATTTAACGTGGGTCAGGTGGTACAAGATTTCCCTCATCATTCTGTTGATGGAGGAAATCTTGCACCACCTGAAGTCCTTCAAGTCCTAGGAATTATGGTAATTCGGTGGCCCTAAACGGTGCATGATGTCATCCATCAACAGTTGCATACTCCAGATGGACCCTAAGACGCTAAAAACATTTTCAGCGCCGGACACCAAATCCATGGCCCTAAATCTACTGCACCAACCCCTAAGCCCGAAACCATGAACGCTAAAGTGTAACACCTAAACTCAACAAATTTCCGACAGACCCATTTCCCGCCATCCTTCACCTGAGTTAAATGCTGCTAAAGAACCTATTAAATGGACATGTATATGGTTAACCGCATTTTTTATCCTCGTCATGTGCTAACCTTAGCAGCAACCCACTTAGAGCCAGAACTTCCCATGTAGCCTAGCCTGGCGCCCCATCTTCTACTTCGGGAGCTGAACGGAGTGGGCTTCCACAGACCTCCATCCTGGGCTACATACCCTCCCAGAACTAACACAGGAAGTCCAAAAGGGGCCCCACAAAGACTACGCTCCTTTTGAAAGGGCTGTACGGGATCCCATGCTAGGTTGGGGGAGGAATCCTGCTTGGGGCTAGGGGTGGTTTAGGTAGGGTTTGTCGGCTGAGTCTGTTTCAAAGTCGGGATTTTTGTTTAGGCTTGGGAGCTTGGAGTTTCGAAATTTTGGTTTGGAGCTTGTGGTTGAGAGTTTTTGTATTTACGGTTGATGAGTTTCTTTGCTGACATTATGGTTATCCAGAACAAAAGTCTGCTGCGTCTAGGGGTAAGGCCGATGGTGACAAACAATGAAAAATCATGACAGCACTCTCAGAAATATTCATCACTGCAGTAATTATGGTGATCAGGATCCATGTGACCTTCCTTCTTGCCAGAAAGTTTTGAGTAGGTCACAACCCCATTGTCGTAGCTTCCATTTTCTTTTCCATTATTCCTATATAACCCAAATATAACCCCTAATATGCTATAATATCCATAATATACCCTAATATACCCGGTAAACAGGAAAACTGCTAAGGAGCGACCCAGCATCCTCATGTCCAGTTCGTCTCTTTGTTGCGGCTTGGCCGTTGGCAGACGCGGCGGATGCTTCGGATACTTGACGACTCTGTGTGGCCGCTTGGAACCTTTTCTGATCTGAAGTTCAGATGGGAGTTTCCGAATAATTCTGAAAATGTGCTCCTAGCACCCACAGTTCTCCTTGAAATCCATACAGCCACGACCTTCGAACATACGTCCACCAGCAGCTGAGGAGCTCTTGGCAGATTTGGGCGGTGGCGGTGGCGGCTGAAGCACCTCAACTTACTGGTGGTTACTAGGGAGTAAGGGAATACAATTAACGTAATCCCTAGAAAACCAAATATATATCATGTTTTCCGTTGTTGCCTACTAACCCCGAGTAAGTCAAGGGTGTCTTTGTATTTGAACCAAACAAGGTCCCCATGATCCGCCAACCCCTGGGTGCGTGTTGGATGGCCAGAGGAGACAGCAACATCTCCTCCCTTCCCTAGAGCCATCTATAGCTCGAAAACACTGGGATACACTGGGGTCTAGGGTTTAGGGTGAACTGGGGGAGGTAGGGGAGGTAGGGTCCACTTTCTTTGTCCACCAGTCCATGGGATCTTTTCGCTACACAGGGGATTGCAAGCCAAGGGACCCTGGATCCTGGACCGCATTTGAAGGTTGGAACTATGGGCCCGAGACTAATCCCTACCTGACCCTGTACATATAGTCCCCATTAAGTAGATAGAATATGGCTTTGGGTAAATTATAATGAGATCCCCATATTCTATCTACTTAAGGGGGACTATAATACCTTCCATTTTGTTTTGCACTTGATTCTTCGTTATTGGAGTAGTATCCCTAAAGCCTTCCCTGCTGTGAGCCCTCAATCATCCCTTTGACCCCTACAAAAAAGCTGGGCTCGGCCTCAGGACCCCCCACCCCCAGGGTTTAGGGTTTAGGGTTTAGGGTTTAGGGTTTAGGGTTTAGGGTTTAGGGTTGACATTCACAGTATGGGGTTTAGGGTTGACATTCACAGTATTCAAGAACGTACCGCGGAGGAATATTTCGTGTTTGAACGGGGTTAAACATTAAGGGGGGATGATTACATCTGCTGGTCGTTTGGGATGGCTTTTGACGTGAGCAGTTCGTTAAAGACGAGCACGCCACGAGGTTGAGATGTACTCGCAGTCTTGCAGCGTCTGTTTAGAGTTTAGGGGCTAAGAAACTCCTGCCCAATACAGCGCCCCCTATTTCATCGTATTTCGTACATCCACTCATATGGCTTTGACTTTCCGGCTCCGCTCCCTGGGGAGAGCCTGACTGCTTCTGGGGTCGGCGGACTGAAACGGAGGCTTTTAAAGTGTTACATCCCGCTACGATGTCATACATTTATCCAAAGCAGAATACAATAGAATTTGTCTCTGTCTTAGAGAGTCTTATTGTAGGGGCCTAAATGGTTACCAATGTCATTTTCAACTCTATCTTTGAGGTACTCTACACTATAGCTAAACAAGAAATCTAGAAACCGCCAGATTGTAGTTAGTTAGTCAGGCTTTTCCATTAGCATCGTCATTTCGGATGCTACACGCCTTGGATTCTCCAGACTCCGCTGCGTCCTCGCCATTCTCGCCCGCAGTCTGCCCAGGATCTGGCTTTGGTTCCTGTTGGTCGCTGCCATTTGGGGGTTGTGACATGATGGGACTATAGGGAACCGTATTAGCCTTTGTAGAAAGGAATCTTGTGTTCAAACACCATAGCTCAGCCAACCGCAGCCCAGTCTCCAGATGATGGCCGATGAGCTTCAGAGGTTTGTTTTTGCTGGCCTTGGGGGTCAGGTACACCGTTTCATCGAAATGGACGTGGCCAGGAACCTTCAGCAAGCAATCCTCCTCTTCTTTCAACACCGCTGTCAGGCCACCCCCGGATCTTGGTTCATTGGCTCCTTGTCGGGTTGCTTTTTCAACCTTGTGCCTCGGTGTATCCCCTATTGGTGAGGAGGCTCCAAAGCTGTCGCTGGTCAGCTGCCTGAAGGAAGACGATGTTTCATGATCACTGGCAGACAGCGGCGACAGTTGGCCATCATCCATGCAAGCTGAGGTGTCCTATTCGCATCGGCGACACCTATCTTGTCTCGGCATTCCTGGGTCCAATATCACATACATGCATGATAGGCCCCCGGAGTTGCATACAAGCGCATATCCCACAGGGGGTGCTCACAGAATGAAATTCAATAGCAGGATCTTCTTGCGAGCTTGTACAGGTATTGGGCTGCCCTTCCAGTAAAGCTGCAAAAGAATACCAGAGTAAAGAACATTACTTGCAACTTTACAGACCAATACTGGGTGGGGAGATAGGCCTCAACCCAATGTATACTTGAAGGTTCATGGCACCTAGCAACTACTTAGAAACAAGCCCACAAAGATAGCTATAATCCCCTAACGAGCTACCCCAACTACAAGTAGAGTTGTAAGCCTAGCTATAAGTAGTTACTAAGTCCCATGAACCTCCAAGTAGGGATGATTTTGCAAAATTTCCAGGTCTGCGGTGCACTGCCTCAGCTCGGCGAGGCCTCCAACCTCTGCGAATCGGAAGATGACAACAAAGACCACAACGGGTTTGGGTACGGGGTTTCGGCTGGATAGAGTTGAGGTTAGGGGTTCAGGGCTTAAGAATTAATTGGCTTCCCTGCTTACCCCCCCCTGCTTCAGTGCCCTGAAGTAGGGGAGGCGGTGGAGGCGTATGGATAGTCGGGGAGCCCATTGTAGCGGATGAATAGTACACATGATTGGGGCTTTGGAAGATTGAGCCAAGTAAGCTCATGTTCTTCTTATAATATGCTGTACCCCGAAGGAGGCTTGCATTCTCTCCAATATCGATGAGACTACTTCGGGCAAACCACATTCATGCTGCTAGCGCACGTGAAGAAAGGGAGGTTGCAGAAGATTACTTTCGAACAAACATGACTTACTGGTGGTTAGTAGGGAGTAAGGGAATATCATCGCTTTCTCCCCCGTGTATACTATATTCCCTACGATAACCCCAATATATACACCATTATAACGTGGTACTTCGCATTTCCCATTATCCCCATGTATCCCCAATATACCCCCTGATATTCCCCACTAACCCCCAATAAGATGGACCAAGCTTGAAGGTCACTCCAATATGGGGTCCTCCGTCCTGGGGTCCGGTATACCTTGAACATGCTGTTTAGGATTCTGTCTTTAGGGTACCCTTAAATTTCCCTGCACTCCTAAAAGGAGGCCAAAGGCACAGATTAGTGAAGAGGGTTTGAATCTCTCAACACGCCCAAACCCTAACTCGTACGTCCTGATGTTGTAAGCTTGCACATGTAAGGCTCCTGGCAGTTGCCCCATCAGGCAGCCTGCATTGCGGGTTCATCAGGTTAGCATTTAGGATGTCGGCCTTCGGGTTTAGGGTTTCGAGGTTAAGGTTTAAGGTTTGAAGTGTAGCGATGAAGGTTTCAGGTCTAGAGCCTAAGGCTTTGAGTCTGGGGCTTAGGGTACAGGGCCGGCCTTTCATTCTGGGTTCAGAGGCTTGAATGTGGGCGGTTACGCAGATGAGAATCCCAACTTCTGCCCTGCAAGATCAGGAATCTTGCTATGAGAACCTCCGAAGAGAAGAGGAACCTATAGCCCCGTGAGTAGACAGAATATGTCATACATGGGGATATCATGATTAAATAGATAAATTCCATATTCTTTCTACTTAAGGCAAACTGTACCACTTTGAGTTGGGGGATGGCGGTCTTCAGTTCATTGAATAGGGCTTAGGGCTTCCGACTTAGGGCATGGGGAGCAGGGCCTATGCCAACAGCATAAACTCGAAACCCTAATGTAAACCCGTAATCAATAAATCCCCTTCTTTCAGGGCCTTAATATTAAGATCCCAGCTAGAATTTCTATTCAGAGGAGGGGGTTTATTAATCAGGGGTCTACATGACATAAAACCCTAAACCCTAAACCCCTAAACCTTAACCCCTAAACCCTACACCCTAAACCCCTAAAACCCCTAAACCCTAAACTCCTAAACCCCAACCCCTAAACACCTAAACCCTAAACCCTAAACCCCTAAACCCCTAAACCCTAAACCCCTAAAGTTGTAGTTCTTGGGGCTCTGCTCACCACGCAGGGTTAATGGTTGGCCTTTGAGTACTGTTACTTAATAACAGTACAACATTTAGCTAGCATGCCTTACTTAATAATAGTACAACATTTAGCTAGCATTCCGAATACAAGTCATAATACATGCATGGGTAGTTTTTGAAGCACTCCTCAAACCTAAGCCCAACCCTCTTCCAATTTGGGAGTTTCCTCCAATTTGTCTTCCCAAAACGTGAGGAACCTAAATAGAGACCTGCTGCATGATGAGAACCCCGTGTTCCATTGGGTTTACGCAGATCCCCATGTAAGCTGTGTGAATACTGCCTATGCAGCTGGAAAATTGTGGGGCTTCTTGTCAGCTGTCAGCACTACTCATGGCGCTAATGAACTTCAGGAATGTGTGAAGCCGATCACTTAGTCAGACTTAATCAACCCATCGACACCTATGTGCACCCCTATAGAACCGTAGCTCAGCGATCCACGAACCCTAAACCCTGTAGCCTTTATGGTGGTCGCCCTAAATGTGGGGACCCCAATCTAGACCCCCCCAATGATCTAGTTTTGGCCTCCCAAGTTGCTTCAAGAGGTCGCGCTCTGCGACTACACAGATCCGTGCCTCCCGACATGTTGAGCTTCAGTCGTTCTGCATGAGATCATTTCTTGAGGGCTTCAAGATTCTGAATCGTGCGTCGCACATTCCTAGGTTCTACAAGAGGGACCTTGGGGTTTAAAGGTGAATATTGAGAAACAGCAACTTGAGTCTCCGGCTGCTGAATCATCAAAAGCTGCCAGCCTCATATGTCAGCATCATGCGGTCTATGAAGTTCAGAACATGAGCTGGATGCTCAAACAGTTCTGCAGCTTGATGCATCTAAGAAGCAGAGACACCACTTGCTCGTCTTTGGCCCGACATAGCATTGTCAACGCACCTCTCGCAAGTGGTGCGCATATTGGCAAGAGGTGCGGAGGCGTGAACTGCCAAGATAGCTGGCCAACTACAAGATGGTTGAGGATGGGAGCGTCGCTGGTTTGGGACAGGGCCACGCTCATGACTTGGAACATGAGGTTTGTAACCCATTGCAAGTTTGGGGCGGTTTTCTCGCGGGGGCAAACTTGACATATGACAGTTAATGTGGCAGTCCTCAAATAGCAGCTCACGTCTTAAAGCTACCGGCATGTAATCTCGATTCAACACTGCCCACCAGGGGCTTCCTCCAGATGATTGTCGCAGGCAGAGATTACAGCTGAATACTCCTTGCGCTCCTCATCGTTCCAATGAATCAGGCCATAATAATCAACAAGCATGAGCCATAAGGAACATGATAGCTGGGCACGTTGCTAGAACGGGCACCTGAACAAAACTGACCAATATGTGAAGGCGAGTCGACTCTGTGACACAGAAACTCACAACCAAACCCAAGACGGCCAAGCGCTAACAACCAATCCCAGGCCGGCGACCCTGAACCCTAAGCCGTTGGCCCTGAATCCCGAGGTCTGAACAAAAATAGTAAAAATAATGACAACAATTCTAATAGTAATGATAATAGTACCTATTTTTGGGGCAACTACTCAATCCATAAACCCTTCGCAGCTTGTTTGCCTTGGCACATAGCAGGCATGAGCTCGTCGATGTCTAGCACTGATGCTTGATCGTATGTATGAAGGCCCGTCCTTTGCCTGGCAACCAGAAACCGGCTCTTGGGTTCAGGGCTTAGGGTTTGGGGTTTAGGGTTTAGGGCTTAGGGCTTAGGGTTTAGGGGTTAGGGCTTAGGTTTAGGGCTGAGGGTTTCCGGTTCAGGGTCTTAGGGCTTAGGATTTAGGGTTTAGGGTTTAGGGCTTAGGATTTAGGGTTTAGGGTTTAGCGCTTAGGGTTTAGGGGTTAGGGCTTAGGGTTTAGGGTCTTAGGAGCCATCTGGAGATCATCGGAAAAATTGCTTCCTTACTGGAAAGCCACATGCAAGAAAAAATGGAAAATATAACGGAAGCTCGGTTTGGGGTTCAAGCTTTGAGGGGCTTAGAGGTTCAGGAATGTTTGGATATAAAGTTTTGGGCTCTGAGGGTTTAGGGTTTGGGACTACTACAGGTCTTCGGGAGTGTTGAATTTAGGGGGTTCAGTTGAAGGTCTGTGGATTGGAGCATTGATCTTATCTGAACATTATCCCGCTGACTGTCGGCTTATTATGTAGGGATAGTGCAAAAGAACATGGAAACTATGGAAACAACTATATTGGGATCATGGAAATAATTTGAAAACTACTATAATCAGGTTATATGGGCTTTCCCTGTGCCATACCACTGTGACTGCAGTTGTGAGGTGACTGCTAGCAATTTTAATTTACTGGCGCACCGCTGACCGAGACAACGGCATCGGGCCCTCAGACCCTGGAGACAGATGGGAATTACAGCAGGGTTCTCCAAGTCTTGGAACGACACCTGAACCCTAAACCCTAATGCCTAAACCCTATAAGCCCCAAACCCCATGTTTTTGTTGAGGCCCCTACATGAGACACCATTAGGAATGCTGTTGAGAAACTCCCACATCAATCAAAGCCAGTCACGCAGGCCAGCCACTGCTGTGACCACGGCATCATAGTCAAGACTGTACAAGCGTCGAAGGATACTTTGGCTCCTTAACTGGCCTCAGGGCTCAGGGCTTGGGGTTCTGCTAGCCCGCGCAGCAATGTTAGCATTCAAGGTTGTTGTCTTATGTACTGCTATGTTGTTGACGCGTGCCATGTCTCTCGCATTGAAGACACTATCATGCTCTGCTATTCAGACAGCCTGCCACCCGCGGGTCCAGATATTGCACATACGGAACACGACCTGAGCTGAGGGCTCTCTTCCACAAGCAGCGAAGGAAACCTGTGCCGAGCTCACGGTCCCGCAAGTAAGCCGCGATTTTGTGGCTACATTGGTTACATGTAGCTTGCAAGACTGGAGAAGCCCGAGACGAGATGCACCTG